CCCAGCCCCGGGTGCACGTAGGCCTGCATGGGCAGCGCGTTCCGGTACGACGGGCAGCAGGAGAACCAGGAGCTGAGCACGTCCCGCCGCCGGAGGCAGTGATGGACGAAGATGAAGAGCCCCAGCGCCACGGCGGTGACGCCGTAGAGGCAGCTGAAGACGATGTTCAGGTACCAGCGCTGGGACACGGCCATGGCGCCGAACGCCCACAGGGCCACGTACAGGCCGTGGGTGGCCAGCAGCGCCCAGAACTGCACCCGCAGGGAGTGGACACCGTCCCCCTCGGGACACGCCGGCCCCGAGTTCAGCGTCACCGAGACGGACCCAGAGTCTGTCAGGAGGTCGCTGGTACCCCCCAGCCGTGGCGGTGGCTCCAGCGGCTCCGGGATGGCTTTCTGCTGCGAGGGTCGGCACTGGAGGCTGAGCCCGGCACAGAGGAAATAAATCCAGGTGACGAGCAGGATGAAAGTCACGGGGACATAGAAAGCGCCCAGGCTGGGCCGCCACACCAGCCAGCAGCTGTGCGGGAGGAGAGGGGCTCTGAGGGGTGGCGGCTGCTCGGCACCCCTGCCCTGATGGCTCCGTGGAGCCCTGCCGGCCGCCTGGACAATTTTTTCCCCAGTGTATGGATAAGTCTCAGGAAAAATCTCACTTTCCTAAAGCTCTCCAGACTCCCAGTGCCAGCAGATCCCCGGCCGCGGCAGAAGGGTAGAGCAGGGACACTTACTAGGGGTTGTTGTCGTGGTAGTTTTGGATGTTGACAGCTGCTGTGATCCCACAGATGATGAGGGGGATCCCGCCGGCGATCAGGTAGAACCTGCGGGGAGAGGAAGTGTCACTGCACACCTGGAGCCCGAGGGAGAGCCCGGGACGGGTTTGTCCAGGGAAGCAGGTCCCGCCCCAGCCCCCGAGCTGCCCCTGCGGGGGGCAGGAGGCTCCGCACCGCAGCATGGGTCTGGGGGCTGCCTGCGCCGTGTCCCTGTCCGGCTGCTGCGGCGCCTTCCAGGTCACCTCCTTGTAGAGCACCCGGGCTTTCACCGCCATCCAGAGCAGCGTGGAGAGCGACGAGTAGTGCAAGATGATCCCGACCTGCGGGAGGAGGCCGCGCTTGGGGAGGGGATGCTGCAGACGCGGCGCAGCGCCCGTCCCGCAGCCCCGCCGGGCCCGGTACCCACGG